CATTGTTTAAAAATAGAAAATGTAATTAGAAGGTGTTATATTTACTTTTCATTCCACTTCAGTTACACCATCAACAAATTCTATAGCAGCATATTTTACTCTTTTTTCCCCCAAATAACGTGTAAAAACACATATCTACTGATTATGTGATTAGCCATATTTTCCCCTTCCCACTTATACAAGTCTCAATTACAAGCAGAACAACTTCGACAAACATGTGGAATAGTAAAATTGAGGACTTTCAAGACATTTACATAATAGAATTATAGAACACACTATGGGAATCTAATTTTCATGAATCTCATAAATACAATATTCTATAAAATAACTTTATATGTTTATTTAATATAGTATATTTTCTAAATATATATCTTTTGTCACACTGATCATTCTAGTACAGTCATTCATGATAAAGCAAACATTTTTTGAGCCTCTTTTGTACCAGGAACTATGCTAGGAGCTGTGCATTACATAGTCTATGCTTTCAAGGAGCTTAAAGTCAAGTGGAAGAAAAAAAATAAATGAAAAAAGTATACATGCCATTATAGAGACAAACACTAGTGGAAGCCCATGGAAAGAGTAATTATTGCAATAAGAAGTGATGTTTCAATACATGTGATTTTGAGCTGAACCAGTATAAAATGGATCTAACTAGGGGAACAGCATGGGTTGATTATCAGTTCCTAGCTGAATTGTGGTATCCTTCACAGGTTAGAGAATAAAGGAGGGTGTACAGAATTAGGTTGGGAGTGAAAGTAACCTGTAATCATTTCTGGATATTTTGTGTTTTAATTACCTATGGACCATGTAGATAAAGAAACCTAATGAAACATAATGGGTGATAATTCTGGTAAGAGGTATTATGTCAGTCGTCTGTGTATTGGTAGCAAAAGCCATTTAAGAGTCACTTACAATTAATAGAAAATAGCAGTGTCAGTTTGCTGTCATTTCCACCATTCTCTTCTGCTTGGTTTCATTCTTTCTATTTAACATTGTTTTCTTTACTTATATTTTCAGCCATTCCTGGCCTTATTCTAATGAAGTGGCCTCCCTAAGAGACCTAAGGCAAGAATTCAGAATGTTAAAATTAGGCTATGAGAAATTAGGTAGTGTGAACTATCAGAGCTTGACTAATTCCCAAAAGAAACAAAAACATTATATAGGGATGTGAGCATTAAAAAAAAAAGTCTCCGTTGGGATGAGCACTGGGTGATATATGTAAGTGATGAATCACTGAATTCTGCTCCTGAAACCAATATTGCACTGTAGGTTAAGTAACCAAAATTTAAATAAAAAATAATCTCATGGCAGTTAGTACTGGTTTAAATAGTAAATGCAACCATAGACTCCATTGGACTATTTCTCTTAAAAGATCTGAGGGTCTGAGGGTAAGCCAAGGGTCACACTGGATAAAGTAAAATTAGTCTGGAAAGGTCAAAATCATTGGCCCAATACTAGTCTGCTTATAGTCATAGTCTGCCTTTATCAAAGGCTTGCATGATATTCAAAGAGGATTTATAATATAATGTACCCATCTGGTTCTTTTTAATGGAAGTTAGTAATGAAGAGGGCAAGGTAATATCTTCTAGTGATAGCCTAGAGTACTAATATTTTTTAGTACTATCAGTAGCAGATCTATGAATTACAAAGAATAGTAATAGAATATATTGTATATGTGGACTTTATATACTCTGCTTTAGCAGATCTAAGAACTGGAAGTCAGCTATGAATTCAATAGTATTTTTTCTCTGTCTACATGATTTTAATTTTAAATAGATAGGAACATTTGCTTTACTATATATTTGTGATTATTATTTTCAAATGAATTGAGGGGAGTTATTTTATCCTTTTAAACAAGACTTTATAAGATCCGAGCCAGAAAGGCTTTACTGGGCTATAGCCAGGAATTGAGAAAGTTTAGTACCAGGAGGGTGCCCTGCGCTTCATTCAGTGAATTGGTAAGAACTTACAGGCGCTAACTCCTGGGTTTTGACTAAAGATAGTACTCATGATGATTGCACTTTTGCCCTTGGTATTGGTTCTGAAAATAATCAAGTTTCCAAGTTCCTAGAGAACATTGTGAAGCCAAGCTGTCATCTTGTCAGGTACTAAGCTTGCCTCTAAACTTCATACTTCTATTCTGAAATTGAAGCCAGTCTTTGAACAGTGAGAGAAAAATAAGGTGAAATTTTGTTCTTAGTAGTTAAGTCAATAAAAGTTAAAAATATACATTGAAATTATTTCTAACTGCTTATGATACTATCCATAGTTTTAGGAAAAAAAAAAAACAGCAACATACAAAAATATTCAACGGAGGTATTTGTCTGGTACATTCTGGGACAGCCCTTCTGGGTGTTCACAGACAATATTTGTTCAGGTTGGCCAGAGTATCTATTCTGATTTGTTAGTGCCTCTGCTTCAGAGTTTGTTAAATAATTTAGCATCACCTGTGGGTTTATATACACTCAACAGGTATTACGTCAGGCAGGAAGGGTGTTGGTGAGAGTACAAAGTCTATCTGTAGACTCTTCTTGCAACAAAGGACATTTACATTTATGTTTCCTTTTCAAAATGTCTAAACCCTGCACCATAAATCCTGACCTAACTTAAATGTCCCTCTTCCATGTCGCCTTTTTGGGATTCCTCCAAACAATGTTTATGTATTCTTTTAAAGGTATAAAGTATATTATCTGTACATCTTGTAAGCCAGTAATCAAGACTTTGTAACTGAGTCATAACCATTTCTACTCTCCGCTAAGAGGCTGTACTTTCATTGTGCTTTTAACATTCATTTGTCCATTTAATTATCTCCCTGCTTTCAAACTAGAAGCTGAAGCAGGTAGAGAGGTAGAGTTTAAAGAATATTCTTATGGTCAGTCCAAATTCTTTATGATCTCTAGGTATATTTGAAATAATGATAATATACATACTTTATGGTTTAAAGAGTCTTTTAGGAGATTGACCTCATGATATAAACTAGGAATTTAGGAAAGAATGTACTCCCAAGTTTCAAACACCTTCTTCAAGAGAAATATTACATAGTGTGATATTTAAAGCAGAGGTTTAGAAGTCACACATATCTGAGTTTTTGTGCTTTTTCAGCCACTTAACAGACAGGAGACCTGGTTATGTCACAAAACCTCTTTAGCCTCCAGTTTGGAATTTGTAACATGGGGTTAGTAATTGGACTTACCACCTACCCAATAGTGAAGTTTTTCACAAATAATGCTATCAGTCTTAACACTCAACCTGACACATCTTAGTGTTCAGCAGGTGTTATCATCTCGCTATCAGTTATATTCTTGGGTTTGCCCCTGCACTGGTAACACGGGAACTGCATGTGCCATTACAGAAGAAAAGCCGTTTTAGCTTTCATAAAGGTAGACCTTCAACCTTTTTCGTTTTATACTCCAGCCAGGTCTGGAAGAATGCCTCATCAGCTAGGGATAGAGAGGAGGGAGAAACCTGGTGTCAGTGAAGGACAGGAAATCCAAGCCTGTTTTCAGATCTTCTGGGCTTCCCGAGAACCTTTCTTATCTCATTCTACCTGAATATTTTGAAAATTCTTAATTGAAAATAATTGATAATTGAAAGTCTATTCTAGGCCAATTGGTCTTCTACATCTGTTGATTTACACTCTTCAGTGTTTTGGATAATTCATAGCTGGCTCAATTTTGTTTTCATTTAGATAACTAAGAAGACATTTATATTAGATAGAAATGCAGGTAAATGTTATTGATGTTTCCAGGTTCATAAATTCAGATGCATATTATGTGCCTACCTGGTAGAAGGCATCATGTAAGTGTAAGTTTATAACGGTAAACAAGACAGAAATAGCACCAGACTTTACTGAACTTAGATTCTAATGAGAAAGGAAAATGTCAATCAAATAATCACACTAGAAAGAACTTACACATTTTGAAAAAATGCCACGATAGACATAAACTGAGTGCTGTGAGGAGTGCATATGGGCAAAAAGACTGTGCTAGATAGAGTGGTTGGGAAAGTCGTTTTGAGGACTAAGCCTAACCAAGACCAAAGTATGAGAGAGGACTGATGACATACAATGAAAGATGGAAGGAAGGCAATCCAAGTTAGGGAGCAGCATGGCCAAAAGGACCAAACAAGGAAGTATTTTGAAAACTTCAAGTTATCTCATGGGACTGATATATGACAAAGAAAAGAAGCTATGGTAAGTAGTATTGATTTTATTCTCAGTACCATGAGAGTATATTTAAGAGATTTAAGGTGAGGAGTGACATGATCCCATTTATGTCTTGAAAAAAGTCCCCATGGCTACAGTGTGTCTAATGATTGGATGAGGTCAAGCCAAGCTGGGAGAGCACAAAGCATTTAATTTGGTCCAGGCAGGAGATAATTGTAAACCAGATTACAGTGGGTGGGAGCAGAACTGAGGAATATGAGGAGAAAGAGTTTGTGGATGAGCTCGGCAAAAAGCAAAATTTGTATTTTATCTTTCTTTTATGTTTTTAGTATTTATTTCACTGCTACCTGTGTATGGTTAGTTTACCACCATATGAGTAAAGCATTTGACACAAAGGAGAGAAATGATGTTACCTAGTTAAAGAAGATAAGTTTCTTTGTTCAGAAATTGAGGTCATATGTTGTAGATGATTATTTCTCTTGTCAAATTATTTCTACATTCCATTTATTCATTCACTCATCCTTTCAACAAATATTTAGATAACTACTTGTAAGACTCAAAATGTTGCATCATTCATTAAATTTATGGTTTTGTTTCCCGTGTAAACAACAATAACATAAAAAACATGGTTCTCCAGGAAAATGGTATCATTGATATTACTCTGGGAATTTCCTCATGGTTTTAGGACTCCTTTTATTTATTTTCCTAAAGTTGATTTTTCTAATGGATAATGATGTTTATCAAGATGCTTTCCTGCAGAATTTGAACTGGAGTTTGGAAAATGTTAAGTGGCAGGCTCAACCCACATTCTGTTAATTCTTGTATTTCTCAATAGAAAAAAGAAAAAGCCTCTGTCATGATACAGAACAATGCTTATGCGGTGGCTGTTGCCAATTATGCCCCGAATCTTTCAAAAGACCCAGTTCTCTCCACCATCTCCAAGAGTGCAACCACCCCAGAACCCAACAAGAAGCCGGAAAACAAGCCAGCAGAAGCCAAGAAAACCTTCAACAGTGTTAGCAAAATTGACAGAATGTCTAGAATAGTTTTCCCAGTTTTGTTTGGTACATTTAATTTAGTTTACTGGGCTACATATTTAAACAGAGAACCTGTATTAGGGGTCAGTCCTTGAATCTAGACATGGGTTATCTTTGGGATGTATAGGAACATAAACTTTGTTTGTTTTGCTATGTACAGTCTGACTAATAACTGCTAATTTGTGAACCAACATGTACAGTGTGTATATAGCTATATAGCTTACCAGTAGACCTCTAATGGAGACACGCATTTGCTAACTTGTGGAACTACAGGCAGAAAGCACCCCATGCCCAAAGAGCTATTGCCTTTTTTAAAGATTTACCCTAGGAACTCGTTTAAAGTGGATTTCACATGACCTAATTTATTTCCTACTGTTCTAATTGTGATGAAAATGGGGATCCTCTACCACACTTTCTGAACTCTTCTGATTTAAGTCTTACATGGGACTATTTTGTACTGTTGCCTAACTATAACATAAAATAATGTCATCATTCCAAGATGAACTCTTCTAAATCATAGAACGTTGTATCTGCCACATCAGTTCCCTTCCTGAGTGCTCAGAATCCCTGCTAGTGTAATTGGAAGCTTTAGCACACATCAGAAGAAAAACTAGAGATCTGAAATCAGCTTTTAATTACTCTGTATAGCATCTATAGCACATATAACAGCATGACAAGCTCAAATAGTTACGAGTCACTCTTGACAGAATGCTAATTATGCCTAGAATTTAATAACTATCAGAATGTCACGGCCATTACATTTTAGCATCAGAGTTTATTTGAAAGTAACATTGAAATCCTACAGATTACTTTCATCATTGGAAACTACCTTAAATAAAAACATAAAATAAAAAAGACAAATGTGTCTTACTCTCTCCAGGTATGTGTTGTATTGAAATCGATCAGCTAAATTTTCTTGGTGCTGGAGACTGGGAAAACCGTCCAGTTTGGCTGCTGTGGAACAACATTCATACTGGATTAGAAACTTGTGCCAAAAACTCCCCCTGATGAGAATTCATAGGTGTCACGGTATCAAGATGAGCACTTATATGATTCTCTTCTTTCCTGTTTACTGCAAATTTTGCCTTAAGGCTTCTTTTCATCAGGACACAGAAGCCACTAATTACAAAGGAAAGGGCAGTTAATTGGCACATTTTTCTGTCTTGAAGCAGTGCTTTCAGATAAGAATTATGTAAATCTGCTTTTGTAAATCGCAACTTTAAATTTCATGGACTCAAATTTACAATAGCTTTGTATACCAGAAGAGGTTTTGGTAAGAGTTGAACATTTTTAAACAGAAACTTTAAAGCATCACCAACAGATTGTGGATTAGTTCACATGCACAAATATAAACACACACACACACACACACACTAATTAGAATGCACACACAAAACATAGCTAAATTAGAAACCACAATTTTCAATTTTATATAATTACTAATTATTAATGGGTAAATTTCATTTTTCTTTTAATATTTAAAATATACTCTCTATGCCCCGGAAATACGTTAATAGAAGTTAACAATTGTGTGTCATGCCTCGATTTAACATTTTTGGCAAACCCAAAATCCTTTTGACTCACATCTACATTAGCAGTTATTAGTTGACTTTTACTAATAGATACACCTTTATGATGGTGTTTTTGTAGAAACATAAGTAGTCAAATAGTGGCATTTCTTGCAGTTTTGTACAGTATTTCAGTATAGTGCATAAATAAGTATGTTCATAAAATCAATAAAAGAAGTATCTTATGGAAATAAGCAAAATCACAACAAAAATTGCTCTTCCTTTGCCTCGTTTAAATTTATTTTTTCATTTTCTTTGTTTTAACGTGATTCTATTATGTGCTTTGCATGACTGTATTAATACCAAGGTCACAAATGCATCTTATTAATAGAATTTGCCGTGAAGACAGGCTTGACGTTAAAAGTTCCCTCACAAAAGGTAATCCATAATCCATAATAAAATAAAATTGTTACATGAGCTAATAAATGTATTTCTTTAATTCCCTTCCAATTACAGCTTCTTTGTCATGTAAATAGTTTCAACATATACACTTTATTCATACTTTGAATGGAAGATATCCTATTTTCCTACACATTTTAATATAACATAGATCTTCTGTAGAGTTTAGGGGAGTGTATAAGAGTCTGAGAAAGTGCATCATGCTTGAAGGCAAGCAGTAAAAATGCTTTGTATGGTATGCATTACTAGACACTTTAAAAGCATTGTTCTTGTAAGTTCTACATTTTCCCCTTAATATCTGACTCTAAATTAAAAATGTATAAATATGTACATATGTAAAAAATAGTTGTAAATAGCAGTTTCTGTAAGACAACAGAAGAGACCCATCTTTACCTTTGACAAAGGGCTGCACCTACATCGATGGCACTAGTTTTACTAAAATTTATGGTAGAGTGGCCAGAAAAATTACGCTTGTTAGTCTTGTTTTTAGTTTTAATTGCCAAAATCCTATTTGAACCCAATAATACCCTGACAGTTCAGATCTTCCGATGATGTGGATTGGGATTTTCAATTATTTCTCTCACTTCCGTGTATTTTTTTACTCACTTCTTCAACTTTTGAAGTTTAGATAAAGGGAACTTTTGCTGTTTCTGGAGAGAGAGAAGGCACTCCGTGGAAAATTATTTTAAATTATAGAATCATAGTGTTTGAAATTATTCTCCCTTCCATAAACCATTTTAAAGATACAAAATAGAAGTGACACTGATTTATTAAAATAATGCCAATTTTTCAGGAATTACATTTTTAATATATTAACAGAGGTCTCTTAGGCCCACATTTTGCCTACTTTATGCAGTTGTACATTGACATAAAGAGTTACGGTATGTACAAAATGTAGATAAGTACATGTACATATACAGAGATATAGTCTCATTTTTGTATAGCTGCTGCTCTGATTCAGCTAATATTTATTCAACAAATATTTTTTTTTACCTCCTGCTGTGTGCCATACCATGGGAAGAGTGTTAATAACACTCATATCACACCCACAGAATTTAGATAAAAATTAAATTGCATCTTCTTCTTCTAAAGACTGGAAATCAAAGACGAAATGGAACACGTGAATTAATTTAGCACTGAGAGTTGTTTTAATGAGCTATAAAATCGTGTGTCCTAAGATAGTGTCTGTTTTGTTTTTTCTTCCTAATCGTGTTCCTATCTTTTAAATATAAAAATGGAACAAATATAACCCATTAGGAATTATTTTAAACTTCAGTGATATTTAAAATGCCAGTGTTACTGCTTAGCAATCTTCAGGGATCTCTCTCTTTCGAATTTATCTCAGGTTTGAATAAGTGAGCCCCTTGAGCAACATTTCCAATTTTTTTTCTTAAATGTTTCATAGTTTGCTTTAAAAAGGACATAGATGCTATTATTTCACTCGTATTTTTCTTTGGGGGGTGTGTGTGTGTGTGTATGTGTGTGTGTGTGTGTGTGTGATGTATATGTAATCTCATGTGTTTATGATGTGTTCTTTTTATAGTCCTGGCTAAAGCTAAGGGAACTGAATTCTGCCATGATATTGTAGATTGTAGAGGGGCACCAAAGCTCGATGGAGTCTGCTTTATTATATTTGGCACAGCCTGGCATTATTTCAGTGGGAGGACAAGGGAAGTAAATCAAGTCACCCTCTGCAAAATCGTGTTTTTTCAGCATCAATTAAGACTTTTTTCAAATGCTTCATTCTTGATGCCTTAGACAATACCTGTGAAGCACTGAGATGTTTATTATTTAATTTGAGATCCAAGACCTATCAATAAGTTTATTAATATTAATAACTTTACCAAACACCAACCTGTATAGGTTGATCCTGTTCTTCATCTTGAAAGTCTTACAACCATCTGCATATTTTTGAAGCAATTTCCAGGATTTGTTTTTCATATAAAAAGATTCAGAATTTTAAGGGAATCAAGCTGACTCATTGTTACCCTGTAGTGCATTTATTTTCCATTTAATTGAGGTCCCATGGACACCTTGGGTTTCCAGATTATATAGAAGCATCACATTTGAACTAGGGAGTGATGTGGTTATTTTTAATATCCATGCTTGGAAACCAGAGACACTGTATCAAAATCACTCATAACAGTGTGGACAAGACAGATTATAATCTTTTTCTTTATTGAATTCATGCTTTAAAGGATGAAATTCAGTATTTAATGAAATGTTTAATATCCATAATCTTTTATAATCAAAATTTATATTAAAATACACATATTTTCCATTAGTGTAAGCAGTCATATTTTCAATAAATTCAAAAACAAATTCAGGACCTCAAAAACAGGGAAAGAAATATCAAAGAGAAAAATTCACTGGAAAATAGGAGGTTGTTGCTAATTAAACCCAGTGAAGCATTTTCCCTTTTTAACTTCCAAGAAAAGGGAGAAATTAAATATGCATAAGTATATACAGAAACACTTAACAGTTATGATCCTATCATAAGCATCATGATTAAAATACTAAAATAGATGAAGCTCATGTGAAGGCATGTGGGAAAGGTAATCAAAAAATTATTCAAAATGTTTCTTATCAGAATTTGTTTCATCATGTTTTTCTTGAAAATTCTTAATCATCCAGTGTATTTAGACCACTGTTTTCAACTTTAATTGAAAGATCCTATATTTGTCTGTATATGTAAAGAACATTTTCTTATACATAATAATATACCCACTTCAAATTACTTTTTCTATGTTGCAGGTATTACATAAGATCATTCAATATTGCCTGAAGGGAAGAACAACTGATAGATGTTTCAGTGTATAGTAATCTTCCCCAAGAATCCTTAATAAGTTCTTAGCTTTGAAGAGTGTGTGTATATGAGTGTGTTTGTGTGTTTGTATTCACACATATGAAAAAACATTTTGAGGAATTTAGACAAATTTATGAAATCTAAATCATTTATTTTATTAATGGGCCTAATCCCAAATATAGCTTTTTTGCTAGCAATTAACTTAGTCAAGAGAATAGTTGGGCTTTTTTTCAGTAGATCCATAACAAACTTACTAGTTGGAATTTATCTTGAGCCATACGTATGGTTACAAATATCCTTCCTATAAAGTTGTAAACATTTTTCTAATGATATCACAATTCTGCTTGTAAGGCGGAAGAGAAAATCTTTGAATTCCAAGTTTCTCAGTGGAGGTTTGTAAAAAGCTTTCATTAAATTAAATACCTGATTCATTGTATGCGAATGACAAGTCGTCTATATTCATTACTGGTTAGTTTCACACCTTTTTGAATTGAAATGGTTCTGAGTTCAATCTAATGGAGACCTCATCATATGCTGGTCCATATTCTAAACCCTTTACATAGATTACCTCATTCAGTCCTCATAACAGCCGTAAATCACTGTGTTGATTCTTGAGAAGTTTAGAATTTCTATATAGTACACCAACATGCTAGTCCAACACATAGTTTAGAAAAAGTAAAAAAAAAAAAATAAAAGCTATATTTTTCTTTGCTTTAATTCAAATTTATGTTCATACCTTTGGGGGAGCACCATTTTAAAGGTCCATTTTAAAGACCACTATCTGGGTTTATTTATGACAAAAACAAGCAAACAGCAAACACTAAACTGTATAGAAACCAAGAATCCATTTTTGTGAAACTAGTTATTCATTAATATCAGTCACAATTTAGTTTCTAGGAATATGTTGCATTTTTCTTTTTTGATTCATAAGTAATGATAATATATAAAAACGCTTAAAGTTGATTAAGTACATTATTTTGTTTTATTCTTTATTTTCTTCTCTCTCTCTCTCTCTCTCTCTCTCTCTTTCTCTGCTCTGTCTTTTGCCAATTCTGTTGGGGTCAGAGAGGTTTTGTTTTTGTTTACCATATGGTTGGTTTCATGACATTTAAACTCAAGGATTATTTATGTATTGACTTGACCAGTTTGTTGTAAGTTACTATTTATAGAAAGAAGTCTAAACTGGCCCCAAATAAATGCCAGTGGTGGCATTGTCAGTGTTGAATTAAGTCAGTTGGTGTGAAAATTTCAGTCTTTCATGCTTTGTTTTAGAAGACTTATTTTACCCATAACATACTGTCAAATTCTAGCCTATATTATTGGATAAATATGAGTGTCTCCAACAAAGTTTATTTGTGAGAACAGATCATATTAGGAAAGCAAAATAAAGGAGTCAGATCTAGAATTACTTTAGAAATAATGGCTGATAGATTTGTTCCCATTTATTTATTTATTTTATAGATCTTCAATGTAGTAGTTGAAGCACTTGGCTGTGTTTTAAACTCTGCATAATGTGTGAAGTTGGATGTAGGATTAGAATGGTGTAAATGAAACTGAACTTTGAGCCTTAGCTTTTACAAATTAAACTTTACCGTCCATGGATAAGTCCTCGATTACTTATTGATCTTAGGCGCCTGCTCCATAATTGATTTCAAGTTTGTTGGTATCCAGTTATTTTCATCAAGATTCTTCTGAGCATATGCAAATTCATGTTTTGGTGTGCTCTAAAATGAGGAATGTGATTTTTCATGAAATGCTCTCTTTAGAGTTGATGTGCATGAAACTTAACGAAAGTTTCATGTTTGTTGCTAAATTTGAAAAAGAAAAACAGGAAGGAATGAAATGTTTTTCCCTTGCGACACATTAATAATAAAATTACATGCATAGGGAATGCATGATAAAGCTCCCAACACTAAACATTAATTCCTCACATTAGGGAAATTTGAGATTTCCTGGGTGACAATATATTTGTATGGTAGTTTTTTCTCACTTGAGAAAATCATTCGAGAGCTAATAATATTTGTAATTTGTGACCTTGTTGTAATTGGGAAAAGTCAACTATTTTTCACTTGTGTAAGATAATTTGACCTTTCTTGAATGTGTCATGCTTGATGTTTAAAAAAAAATGCTAATCAATCCCATGCAAATTAATGCTAAACAATATCTTTTTGTACTTATTAAAATTAATTTAAATACATTTAATCTGAAAATT